AGAATAGAATAGAATAGAATAGAATAGAATAGAATAGAATAGAATAGGAATTCTTTATTGGCCAAGTGTGATTGGACACACAAGGAATTTGTCTTGGTGCAAGTACTCTCAGTGTACATAAAAGAAAAGATACATTTGTCAAGAGTCAAGAATCACAAGGTACAATACTTAATAATAGTCATACGGTACAATAAAGCAATCAAATCAACAGGAAACAGTCAATATAGATCGTAAGCGACAAAGTTACAGTCATACAGTCACAAGTGGGAGGGGATGGGCGGTAAGGCACCTACATTTTAAAATTTGAACCTAACATTTGTAGATTTTTTTTCTTTTTCTTCTTCTTATTATTTTGGCTCCTGTGCATTGACCCTCCTACATTTTGAGCCACCTTTCACCTGTCATAAACACATTCACATGCAAATTATATAGCATCCTATTCCTGAAAGGTTTTGTGGACTTGACATGCAAATCCGCCACCTTCTTTGATCAGGACTCCATAGTCCAAAGGCCAAACAATTTCCTCCATTCTAAAGAAGAAGAAGGGGGGGGGGATCACTTTTAAATCATTTGTTTTCCCGTGATTTATCCTCCTGTAAGATTTGGTTTTTTAAGTCAGCCGAGAGAAATACCCACAAATCTTTTGCAAACCTTCGCAAAAGCTGGAATCCTGTATGTGTACATTTTAAAAAGAAAGAAAAAAAGCAACATTATTGTGTCAAGGTTTCTATTCTTTCTGCTTGGAAGGGGGTTTCAAAACAAACTTTCACTTATGCAAACACAAAGCTGCAGAAGGAGGTTAAAAAAAAAAAAGGGAAACCGTCGGTCCCTTGCCGACTTCCACGTTAATTTTGAACTGATTTTGCAATATTTGGCTGATACACACCTACAGGCCCAAGGTGACGTTTGGTGGGGGTAGTAGAGAGAGCATTGAGAGTAATCTGTCTATTCCAAATAAATCCAAATCCTCTTTCTAGACTGATCCAAAATCCACAGAAGAGGAAAAAGGGGAAAAGAGAGAAAGAGAGACCTAGGGAATCATTTTTTTTAAAAAAAGAAAAAGGACAGTAACACTTATGAAACTGGCGACTCACCAGCTAAAACGCTCAGCACCTTACTAGACAGCTTAAACCGACTTGCCCGGGGCCAGCGACCTGTTTGGTGTGTAAGTCTTGTGGACTTCACGAAGTTCTACCCCCCCCCCCCAACCCGGTCCCGGATTCCCGAAGGACACGTTTGGTTCCCCACCTCTCCCCATTTACCTTCACGCTGGATCTCTTGGTCCTCGATTCTGCCTCCATGTTATCCCGAGAGTCCTTTTTCGTTAGGTTAGTTCTCAACTTGTACGAGGTGGTGTTGGAAGATTTAATGAATAATCCAGAGACTTGCTGGGACGAATTGGAGTCCTCCGGATCTTTGTTACTGTGATAAACCACCCGGCTGTCAGATATATGAATGCTGGGAGCACAACCCATGGCTGTTTTCTTTGCGGTTTTTTCCCCTCCTAAGCCGCTAGATCTCAAGGTTACTTCTCTCTCAGTCTCTCTCTTTTTTTTTATTTCCCTCACTCGCTTGGGAACGTTGTCCTTTTTTTTCCCAAAAGGGGTTAACAACAGGCCGTTTCTGCCGAATGGTCCAGGGTCCCCCTCCACGCCGTCAGCTGCTTCTCAGGCACGGCCCCCCAAATCCGGAGAAACATCGTTCCGGGCGGCCCCTCCGAAGGTCTGGATCCGAAGGCGCAGTGGGTGCGGCGAGGTAGAAGAGAGGGGGCTTGAAATTCCGGCTGGGCACTTAAATCACGACATTCTCTCTCTCTCTCTTTTTTTTTTTTTCCTTCCCCCCCTCTCCCCTCCACGCAAAAGGGGAGAGGGAAAAATAGTCACCCCCTCTTTCTCCCCAAGGTTTGGGGGGGATTAAGAGGAGGGGAGGAGACACATCACTTCTGGGCGGCGCTTCTCCCAGAACACCCCCCCACACACCCCTTTCTCTCTCTCTTAGCAAATCGACCTAGTCCGGTTTGGGGAAGGGGCGAAGGTGGGGTGGAGGGGTCTCAATGGAGACCTTGCAATGAAAAGGCAAGGTAGGAGCGCCTCTCTGCTCCCACCCCAAGCCCAGCCCCTCGCCTGGCACACCTCGCCCCCCTCCTGCCCCCACCCGCTCTCCCTGCGCACATTGGCAGCCCCCTCCCCGCTTTCTCGAGCTCCCAAACGCGGCTCCCCTAGCCGGGCTGGGAGGGGGTGGCGGCGACGGGCCCCCTCCGGGGTTATGCTCCCGCCTTCATGGAGCGCCCGTCCGAGTCATCTCCGCGGACAGACCCTCGCCCCCCCCTTCCCTCCCTCCCTCCCTTTCCCACCGCGGCGCTTGCTTTGCAACCCTCCCCCCCACCCCACCACCACCACGACCCCACCAGGGAGCCGGGGAAGCGCATTCACACGTTCGCCTCCCCCTTTCTGCCCCAAAGAGGCTTCCCCCTTCCGCCGCAACCTCGAGCAGGTCCCGCAGATTCCACCACGGGAAGGGCCTGCAAGGCAGATGGGGCCACCCAGTTGCGCGCCCCCTCCGCTCCCTCCCCGCCCCCAAAAAGGAGAGAGGAGGGGGAGAGAAGAACCGTCCAAAGGAGAAGACAGGAGGAATGGGGTGGGGGGTGGGGGGGCAATGCAGAAAGGGACGGGGGCGGGGGCTGGAGGAAAAGGAGGGAATCCTAAACTTTAGAAGGATCCAGAGCACAAGAAGCCGATCTGCTCGCCGGGGACTGACCCCCCCGCCGCCACCAACGCCGCCAACCCCACCAACCCCGCCGTCGCCGCCTCTTCTTGCCCCAGCACCATCGCTCTGCGCTCTTGGCCGATCGTCCTCCCCCCCCCTTCCCCTCCCCACCCCCCCCAAAAAAGTCTCGCTTTGGTTTGGGGCACCCAAAGCGCTGCCAAATCCAAGCCCCGGAGGAGGAGAGTGGAGAGGGAGGGGGGGGGGGAGAGAAATCTAGGCAGGGAGGGGAGGGGGCGTCCGATCTGCTGCGGAATGAATTAAAATGGCGAGAGAAGGGGGGCTGCCGCTCGGTGCCCAAAGCCAGCTGCAGCCGAGGCGAGGCGCGGATCCCAGGCAAGGGCGCACCGCCGGCGGCTCCTCGCGCTCCTGCAAAGGGTCGGCTCGGCTCGGCTCCTCCGGCTTTGCAAAGGGCTGCCTCGGCTGCGGCGGCGGCGGCGGCGGCGGCGGTTCCTGCTTCTGCTCCCGCCCCGCAAGGGAGCCCCGGGGCCGTTCAGCTTGGCGGCTCCCCCCAGCAGCCTCCCTGGCTCGCCAGTCCGCTCCGGCGGAGTTTGACAGCCCCGGCGGGGCGCAGCATCGGCGCGGGCGGCGGCGCAGCCAATAAAAGTCCCCGCAAGGGCTGACCTCCAGCCTTTAGTGGCGTCAATGCAAACGAGCTTCCCGGCCCAATCCGGAGCCACCGGCGGCGGCGGCGGAGCGAACTTCAAACGCGCCTCTGTTCCGCCCGCCCGACGCCCGCCAGGGGCGCCCTTGCAAGGCGGAGGCGGGGGGGGGGTGCGGGGAGAACCGAGCGCGCCCCGGGCGGTGCAGCAGCCCGGAGGGAAAGTTCCTTGGTTGCCAGCCTTGGCGGGGGTGGGGAGGAATCCCGCATTTGCAACCCCGCCTTTCCTTGCCTTCCTCCCCACCCACCGCACCCCAGGAACTCCCCGCGACTGGAAGGGGCAGACGGGGGGGGGGCGGGGGCAGTTTCCACGCCTCCGCCTTCCTGCGCTCCGGAGCGCCCGCAGATGATGAGGTTCCAGGTGGGAAATCTTCAGAGATCCCGGGAAAAGGCAAGAGCCCCGGAAGATGCTTGGATGGAGAAGTCAGGCTCAGATGGTGTTGCACACGAACGACAGACACACAGAGACAGACAGACACGCAAACACACACATACAGACACACGAACCTGGCCTCCTTCAGACACTGGCAAAATTTCAGGAGCAGCATTTATAGAAGCTTTGAATTTTGCAGGATAGCTTTTAAACCGTTTTTATTCAACAGCGGAGGCCCCTGTTACTTCTGTGGCTTGTATTCTGTTGAATAGCAATCGTTGGGATTAAATATTTATACACACACACACACATATATACATACATACATACAGTCAATATATATGTTTGATTGTTGTGCCTTGAGGCCAGGTGTGTTTTTGTTGTTGTTTTGACACCTGGACAAGCCTACAGGTTTCTTTTTGTCAAGGCTTTTCAGAAGGGCTTTGCCTTCTTTCCTTCTTTCCCAGGGCTAAGAGAGAATTTTATTTTTATTTATTTTATTTTATTTGTCAGTCACTTATAAGATAATAGGTATAAGTATAAACATGAGTAAGAATACAGGAAATAGCTACAAATAAATGGGGACAAAAGGACAGGAACGGGAGGCACGATGGTGTGCAAGCACCCTTAGTGTGCATGTATAAGAATGACTGGCCCAAGGCCACCCAGCTAGCTTCCTGCCTCAGATGAGACTAGAACTCACTTCTCTCAGTTTCGGCCCCCACAATGTCTTAACTGTCATATCAAGCTGGCTCTCAGCCCTGGTACTATATAAGAATTTAATACAAATGTAGAAGGGTAAGTTTAGTGAATTGGCCACATCTAATAAATACAGAGAACCAACCTGCAATGCATACTTATTATTATTATTTAGCGTGTGAAGAGAACATGAAAAAAGAGAGGTAAACATATACACACACAATCCACATAATTATATAGAAAACTTCTGTGGGGATATTAGCAGTGGCCTAATAACTGGATGTCCAATTCAGCTATCCAGGTGATCTTTAGAGTTGCTTCCTGCAGGTCTTCTAAGGAATAGCTGCGAATCAGGAATCAGAGAACACACATCATGGACAATTTTGCACAATATGTTTAATAGTTTAACAGAAATGTATAAAGCAACACAAAGTAGTAGTTCTGTCTAATAAAACCCAAGTGTCAATACACACAATAACTTTCATGATATTAAGTCACTTTTTATCCAGAGTCAAAAGAATGTTTTCAAAAATATCATTGTTAGGATTTATTTTAGATGTTTGGAGCTAGATTGTAAAATATCTGGACATCCAGATTAGGCAGTCCAGTTTTGGCTCTTATTATAAGGAACAAGGCCTCTTTAAATTCTTTCATAATCCAGACTCACTTCTGTTTTCTTTTGGGGTTAAGAAAGGAGAACAAGAGATTTCTAGGCCAAAAGTGAAAAAAAATCCGATAGAAGAGGAGGTGATTAAGAAAATAATAGAAAGTGCAGAAATGAGTAAATTGACATTAGAAATTAGAGAGCAAGAAGATAAAGAATATTATAAAATATGGGATTTATTTTATCAATGGCTATAATAGGGAAATAAAATATACTGTAATGATATAGTAAAGTTAAGATAATACTATGATATAATATAACTGATTATAATAAAATGAATGATATTATGAACTCGGTTTTGTAAAAGTTGAGATTTGCTCGAAAAGGATGACATGAATTTATAATTATAGTCTAATAAGGAGTTAATAATAATATAGTATGCATATTTGATCTATTTAACATGAATTTTAATCTAAATTTAGAAGGGAAAGACTGTTGATATTGTGCATGAGAGATGTGTACCAACTGACACACCATACAATGGAAAGATGGTTTTATTTGATGTTTTATGTTTGTATTTGCCAATGTTTGTTGTCAAAATTAAAAAAAAATTAAAAAAAAAGAGATTTCCAGGACATTCCTACAAATGGATCATCAAAACAAGAATATTTACTGAAGTATCCCATAGGTGCTTTGTTTAAGAGACAATTGGACTTTCTGGTTTTTTTCTTTTGAAGCCTTTTCGCTTCTCACCCAGGAAGCTTCTGAATTCATTCTGAATCCGAATGAGGATTCTTGGATGAGAAGCGAAACGTCTTCCAAAAAAACCCAGAAAATCCAGTTGCTTCCTGAAAAAAGCACCTTTGGGGCAACCATGACCCGGAGGACCGAGAATCTCCATAGACATTTATTGAAGCAGTCAAGGATGGCCATGGAGTGGGGTGGAGGAATGTCCAAAAAGTCAGAAGGGCAGGTGTGAGATCAAAGCCCTCTCCCTTTGGATCTCGGTTGCTGCATCTTAGGCAAAAGGCCTTCCTTGCCAGAAAATGCATTACTAAATTAGAAAGGCAAGAGAAGAGCTGATGGCCATTTTACGCCGACGATGTTCCTCAAAAGCCATGCTCGGTGCCAACAGTCACAGTGACAGCAAATGTTAGGACTGCAGAGCGTGAAACGCTGGGCTTTTAAGACAAAGAACAGTACAGTTCAGCAACCTGGAAACCTGCCATCTACCAAGCCCAATCTATGTCCTCAGCCATTCAGAACATCTGACAGCGATCTTCCAAAATCCCTGCCTGGATTTTGTTTTTTTGTTTTTTTCATCCTTCACTCGGGGTGTCCAGGACCAAACTTGGATGTCAGAGTCACCAATTTTTGGGAGGCGATGACTTGGAGTTGATTGGAACTGCTACGTAGAAAGATGGGTTCCGGATCGAGGTAGTGTTCTGACCAAGACTTCCTGAGACAGTAAACAATCACATGCTGTTCCCAAAAACCTTTCTTTTTATTTCAACAGCTGTGAATTATATGCATTCACAGCCCGTAATGAGTCCCACACAGTTTATGAATAGTCCAACAGAAGTCTGCCACATGGATAAGGCTGATAAGAACCCACCTTTATCTAACTTGAAATGCTGCCAATGACTAAATTGCCAATTAGCTGTACAAGGCCAAACAGAGCACAAAGTCAACACAGAGCTTCAGAGTTAAACCAACCATAATGAATAAAGTTGCTTCCTGCAAAGGCTCACTTCCCTTTGCCCCTCCTTTATGTCGTATGGGAGGGGCCAATCATCTCCAAGCCTTACTCCCAAGTCGTCCTTTTTGTCTTAACTATTCTTGCCTTCTGTCAGCTCTGTGCAAGTGCACACTGGGAACAGGCTCCCCCTGTTCCTCTGCCTCGCTGCTGTCCGATTCTGGAGGCTCCAGTCTCATCACATAACTCGCAGATGGCCATGGCCCCATCTCTGTATCGGATGCAGGACCCTCGTCTGAGCCCTCCCCAGACTTCAGGACTGGCCCATGTTCCTCCCCACTGTCCGACCTCACCTTGTGACCACAACTGAGCCCAAAATGTATGTTGCCATGTGAGAAATTGGTTATGTGAGTTATGCCCTGTTTGGGGGCGTTTCTTGCCCCATTTGCTAAGGGAATCACTGCAGTTGTTAAATTGGTAACACAGTTGTTAAGTGAATCTGGTTGCCCTATGGCCCT